TCTGCTCTTCCTTCTGCTGAGCAAATGGACATTCAGAGGAAATATCTGACAAAATTGTCTCAGTTAATTATTTCCTAGTGGTCAACTTGCAGACTTCTGGTTCATTGTCTCTTGCTTACAGCTTAATGTTTTTAGGCTGGTGATAGGATTATGTTTTAATTGGGACTGTATCATCTTCTGGGAGAGGCTGGGCAGGAAAAGCATCTGTTGCTCACTCGGAATTCAGCAAAGAGGCAGAAGCTGCACAGATTGAGCTGGAGCAGCTTGGGGATTGGTACTCAGGATGAACGTAGGACAGTTCTGAATTCTGTGCTCATGACTACAGGCTGGCTGTTAGCTGTTCCAAGGATGAGTTGCTGGGACAGCTGAAGTAGCAGCAATGAACACGCAACCAAACTAAATTAGCCTTGTGGGCAGTAATGCTGGTAAATTCCTTCTGACTCTTAATCCTAGATTCAGGACCAAGCAGGGGTCTATCAATGTGAAACTCAAGAGTTCCAGTCATGTGAAGTTGCCACCCAAATTGAGAGCAAAATTCCTTGGAATTTTTGAGGCTTTCCTACAGAACATGTGGGCCAAGCACCACACAAACCTCACTTTAGACAGATAGCTGAACATGGGCTCTGTGCAACACCACCTTGCAGGCAGCTCTGAAGTGAGGTCCCTTGTTATGGTACAAAGCAGCTGGCTCCTGTCCTGGAAATCTTGTGGCCAAAATACCTTGGTCAGGCCATTGAGCTCTCGGGAGTGCCATTAGCACCTGCACTTTCTGCTAGTTCCTTTCAGAGCTTTAAGTGTCTGTCCCGTCTGGAGGCTGGGAAATAGGACAGAGGAGAGAGGAGTGGTGCCTTGCTGATGTGTAGAAAGATTTCTGAGTTCTCGTTGGCTCTGGATACAACACAGGTTTAGCAAGAATCTTTTGGTGCTGCACACCATGGCCATGACTTCCCTGTGTGTACCACCTAGCAAAGGGATGAGGATGCATTCCCTGTATCCACCCTGCACCTGGCCGTGCCATTCTCTGTTCTCCATCCCTGTTTGAAAGACTTTCAGCTTGCATCCTGTTTACCACCGCTTTAGCTGGGGAGCAGGAATGTCCCTGGCACAGAGGATGAACTTTGTACTGATGTGGAGCTCTTCCAGAGGGAGCTGCTTGTCGGAATGACCAGAATGCCCCTCTGCCTCTTCAGCCTGTTCTGCTCCTATTTTTGTTTCTTTCTTAAGCTCTTTTTTTCCATGTGAAATACTTCGTGGGTCATCTGTCCTTTTGGTGACTGGAAAATGGATATCAGTGTGACCTGATGTCAGCAGGCAAGCGTCACTGTGCCCTTGGTGCTAAAGCTCTGCTGCTGGAGAGGTCAGAAGAGGCTCTTCTCTGCTCACCTTCTCCCATAGCAACTGACACCCCACACTGCATCCCACGGGAGGTTCCATGGGATGTTTAACTCTTGCAATAGCCTTCATCTACATGTGCCACACAGAGCTGAAGAAGACTTTGCCTCAGATCTCATAGTTCCAATTAATGGTGTTTCCTGCAGCATCACATCCATTTTGTGATTGCTCTTCAGCTCTTCTCTCCCTGCAGGGCAAAGGAGTAGCAGACTCTCCTTTGGCTGATGGGCTTTTGTATACAGTGATAAATGGTACTTTCTGCTGAATGCTTCTGAGGTTAGAGAAGGGTAATTTAACCTCTCTGGGTAGAAGGTGAGAAGGGTAATTTAACCTCTCTGGGTGGAAGGTGAGCAGGCATACCTAAGAACGCAAGGCAGTGGAGGCTTTGAACCTGGTTCATTTTAGAGTTGAGTGTGTCTGGGAGTGAGAGCCAGTTCTTTAAGGGAACTGATCTTGCCAGGTCAATAAGCTGGAGTGAAACTCTTGACATAGCTTAAAAATGAAACGTGAACCAGCAACTGCCTGCAAGTCTTTTTGCTTGGGTAGCTGTATCTTGCTCTTTCTAGTTACTGCAGGAGGGTCACAGGCTGAACTTGCAGATGCTCTGGCCTTCCTTCCCCAGCAGGTGGTTCAGGACTCAGCTGTCTGATGCTTCCGTGCATTGTCACAACCAGGAGGATGGCCCTGCAGTATTCAGCCTTGTGGTTAGCAGTGTGTGCTGGGATGGCAGTGCAGGAAGGGAGGAGTGTGAAGGGATGTGTCTTTTCTACTGAAAAGATTCCTTCTATAGATTTTTTTTAAAGAGGAATAATGGTTACTAAATCTGTGTGAGGATAAATGTTGGATAAATTGTTGAATGGGAGAAGGATGTTTTCCTGGCAATCAATACGAACTCTTAGAGATTGTTGGTGTTCCTTACAATGTACCCCAGAAGGGAAAAGAAATTTCATGTAGGTTTTCCACATGTCTCTATATCCCGAATCACTTGATCCTTCAAAAACTGTGAGAGACTTTTTCTGTGAACTGGAATCAGCACTGGGCTAATCCTGGTAAGAGCAGACAGTTTGTGGCTGACCCCTGCAGGATTTCTTTCTCTGCTACTTCTCATTCAGCTGCTTCTCCCTCTGCAGGTTATTTTAATCCCATCCCTACTACAAAAGTTGTTCCAGGAAAACCAGCTCGAATTCTGCTCACGCTCTCACCTCCTCTTTCTTCTCCCATACTAGTTTCCAAGAGGGCTTCTCATCTGTCATAGATTTAGCTATATAAACTTGACTCCTTGGCTGAACCCTCAGCTGACCTCATTTCCAGGAAAACTGGTGGTGCTGCGGATCACCCTGTACCTCTCTCAGCCTTCTGTGCTATTCTGTATTCAGTCATTCAGTTTTGGTGTTAGTGAGCTAACAAGTCCAACGGGATCACAGCTGCCCTTAAGCTGAAATACCTGAGGAGCTGCTTCTTACAATCTGTTTATATGTACACATAAAAAAACACCCAGCAATACCCAAGATATTAAACAAGTGAAACTGCTGACTAGCAGTAATTCTTATTCTGTCCTGTTTTCCCATGTCCCTCCCACACCACTTGGCTGTGTGATGATGGTTGAGCAGGTAGCTGCAACTGAAGTTCTTCCTCAGATGTTGAGACAGGCTGTTTCCTGGTGCATTTAGGTCTTCACAGTTTTCTTCAGCAACTTCCAGCTCAGGCTTTTGCTCAGACATTAGTCATAAGCTCCATTTTATTGGGGTTGTTTTCAGTACCACTGTCAGATCTTTCTGCAGGCAGGTTCTAAGTCTGAAGGCATGTTTCTTTAAGGACCAGCTCCTTGGTCGCCCTCCCAGTGCAGCTGAGTTTGCTAGGATCATGTGGCCAAGGTGCCAAACTGGTGTTCTTTCATTCTTTTTGGTTTTGTTGCATGTTATTTGTTCACCTGGTAAGATGCAAAAGTATTGTAGGGATGTAGTGCTAATGTCACAGTGCTTGTAAGCCAGCCCCACAGAAATGAGTTTACTTAGTGTTGGGAAGAAACTTGAACCATGCAGCTACTATCTGGAACAGGCTGGGCTCAGTGGCTTACTGCTAATTGAGTAAGTAAGATCAGAATTAGGCTGCTAAACGTTACTTTAGGAAAGAGCAGAAGACTGGGATTATAGTGCTAAAAATTGCTTCAAAGAAGGGAACTTGGATTTTCTGCTAAGTTGCTACCTCACATTACCTAAATCCTGACCCCAGAGTTTCTGGTCATGGCCAAGGGTCTCATTCTGAACTTGCTTGAGCTGCTGGTGTTGCTGGCTTTCCTACGCACAAAATCACGTTCCCGGGCTGCATTAAGGGAAAACATGTTGCTGGCACACGTGTGTTGCAAAAGAATGGGATGTGTCAATACAGAGTTGAGGGTGTTGTTTCCCTTATCTCTATTAACCTGGGTCTAACTTGGCTGTGGTTGCAGGGCTGGGGAGGGAAGACAGGAAAACAGAGAGGTCTCTAGTCAATAGAGTTGGCTTGAACTGATAGCAACTTTCATCTTTGTCCAAAAACCAGATCTCAGTTCGACTGCAGGGAAGATTTGTGAAAACATGGCTGTTTTCCTTCTGTTTCTCTGATTCTTCCCTCAATAATTTTCTCAAATATATAATAACTATGTCTCTGAGAGCGCAGTGATTGCCTTGTACTCAGAGGAATGCTTTCTACCCCATTGTGACTAGGAGATACATGGGGCGGCATCTGACAGTGTGTGCAAAGGGCAGTGTGCGGGGTGTGGAGGGTTTGGCTTGGGTTGGTGGTTTTGTTTTGTCCTTTGCCTTCTTTCCTACTGCAGAGCTGTGGTCCTCTTGGCAGACTGGACTCCCAGTGACCATGAGATAATGGGTTTAGCAGCTGCCTTTGCTGCTGTGCAGATGAGCTGCTTTCTCTTCTGTAAACCCAGCTCGGTCACTGAGGGAAAGTGTAAAGCAGGCATGCCTTTGTGAATCCTGCTTCCCCACAGGGCCTGTTTCTAGTGCTGTGAAATAGGGCACAGAAGAGACAGGGCACCAAATCCTCTCTAAATCACTGATTGCCTAAAGGAGCATAGCGTCCATTTTGCTCACCTGAGATGTGATTGACATTGCCAGCAGAGCTGCGATGATGGATCACTTGGAAAGAAGTCATATTCCAGTCTGCCTATAAGCAAAAGTGCCAGTAGATGGTGTTTCTCATGGAGAAAAAAAAAGCGGATGTTTTGGAATGGGTTCAGCCATGAGCTCAATTGCAACAAAGCCCCAAAATAACCTCGTTTTCTGTTTTAATCTTTTCACCAGCCCTCTGCTGTTCATTTGAACAGGACCTCCTAGAAAAGCATGAGGCCTTAGCCAGATGCATGTCATCCTTGGCTTGACAGAGCATATGTGAGAGGAGGGTAGCTGTTTGCAGTGCAAGTTTGTGAGTGCCAACACAGCTAGTTTCTGAGACTCAGTAACTGTGCCTGTTGTAGACACTTATCTTGAGTTATATCAGCAAATAGGGAGAAACTTCATAGCAAAGCTGCGTACAAAATTTTTCTATATCTAATTTTGTGAAAATGGCTGATTTTTTGCTACCATTTCATAGTGCAATTTTTCTCATTACAGGTGAGGCTGGTGCCAGCATTATTCGAGTGTCTAAAGAAGCACGAAAGAGGTTCCTGGGTCCACTTCACCCCTCTTTCAACTTGGTGAAGATCATTCGGCTCTGCCTGTCCAAGACTGTGCCAGAGAATGGGCATGAGGTGGCAGCAGGACGTCTGGGTATTTCCCTCACACGAGTGTCTGATGGAGAAAACGTCATACTGTCAGACTTCCATTCCAAGGAGGAACTGATTCAGGTGACTCGAAGCTTATTGCATGGCAAGAACTGCAGTCTGTTTTGTTTTGCGTTCGTCTCCAAATGTCTTTCATAATGTGGTATAATTCTCAGTGTGTGTCCCTATGGAGCTCTGATTAACTCAGTAGGCTTTGATGTCATTCTTATGTGGATCTCTTTCTTCTTCAGGCCTGTGTCTGCAGTACCTTTATCCCTGTCTATTGTGGGCTGATACCTCCAACGTTGCGTGGAGTGGTAAGACTCTTAAAATATTTCTTCATTAAATTACGTACTAATAAATAAGACAACAAATACTCTGGGCAATTCAACTGCCTTTTAACATAGCAGCAATTATCCTGAAGAAGCATGAGAAATTCCCAAATAAACAATATTAGTGAAAGATATGCCTTGTTTTCAGCTCCTGCAGTTGGCTAAAATATCCTGAAGTCTGGTTGATTTAACTTAAGTGCTGGCTGATTTAGTAGGTTTAATGGACAGGTTTAGTGGACCCTGGCTTCTTGGTGAAACCCTCCAGCACTGAGGCTCTGACCCATTGTTCATGTGGAAAGAACTTGTTTCCATGGTAGAAGCTATGTGTTCCTTTCCTACAAGCCTGGTGTCCTTTGAAGATTTTTCACCAGTGCTGTTAGCTGGCCTCTTTTCCGTGGCGCTCCTCACGTCCTTCCTCTGAGAATGTTTTATCTGCATGTGCTCTTTTTATTTTCCTGTTCAAGCAAGCGTCCAGAGCAGTTTCTCCCTTTTGTGTGTTCATGTTAGAAATGAAAATGCTTGAAAGCTGCACAGGGCTGGAGAATCTTTGTATATAGCAGTAATGCCTAAGGGCCTCAGCTGAGCTTGGGCTTCCATTGTGGTGTGTGAGGTAATGCACTGTAAAAGACAGCTTATTTGCAATCTAACCAGTTGAAAGGTTAGAAAAAGCTGCTGTTCACATCTGTGTGTCCTGCCTTCCCACAAAATGAGCTGATCAAGATGCCTCAGTCTGACAAGGTATCAAATCTGTTAGGTGTCCTACAAGTGAGGTCGGTTTTGCTCCTGCATAATATGCAACGAGACTGTTTTTGTATTGTGCAAGCATGTTGAGCAGAGAAATGATCTAGAATAAATGATCAGTGTCTAGCCCTTCAAAGAAATGACAGGATCATGCTGGTTTGGCATTTGCTCAACAGCTACAGTCTGGATTTTTGTCCTACAGCTGGTGGGAATGTAGCAGAGGCTCTTGCATAAGGCCTCTTTGGTGTTAACTGAGGTGAGCCTGGCTCAGGCAAAAATCACAAAATTCCAGAACAGTGTACAGCAATCGGGTTATGAAATTAGCAGCTGCTCTGGTGTACCAGGGAGTGAATTCTCATGTGAAGTTTCCATTTGGGGAAAACCAGGGGCTGGGGAGGGTGGGCATGGGTGTGGGATGAGAGGAGGAAACTAATTTTTACCTCTTCCCCAGAAAATAATGACTCTTTCTATTTTTGAAAGTCAGTATGGTGAGGTGAAAGGCTAGATTAAATAGGGTATGAACTTGGGAAAAGGCTTTGAAATGGGACTGCATGGTTCCTAGCACAACTAATGACTCTATTTACCACAAAACAGAATGGCAGGCCAACTCAACTCACAGGTATCTGTTTTCAAGGCAGTATGTCTGTGGAAGTTACAGTGTCCTTATCAAATTAGTTCTTTTCCCTCCTGTTTTTCCAGTATTTGCTTTTTGTAATTCTAGCCTCCTTACGGAGGGGATGATGAAGATGGGTGGGAGGGAAGGAGAAATGAGTTCTTAAGTACTGAGGAACTAAAGAGTCAGTTACTGACCTGAAAACATGCTCTCTAGCTGTGACCTTTCTGTGGCATGTGGGTGAGATGAACCCTTAAAAAGGGTAGAAGAGAGCTAGCTGTTGTTCTTGTTGAGTGCGTGTCCCAGGGATGGAGAGGACTCAGTAAGAGAGTGGATTTGGGGACCTCAGGAATAATCTCAGACTGTGGGCTGTCCCCAGGAGTTGCTGCTTACACCTGCAGGTAGGTTGAGGCTGCAGCCAGTGGCGCTGATGCTGCTCGTGGCATTGCAAGAGACTGTGGAGGGGTCAGCCTTGGATTGGTGAGAGGTTCAGATAAATCCAAAGAAGTGCTGGCTGACCTTGAGTAAGAAGCGTAAACAGTGCTGCTTGCAGAATGGGCCAGAAGGCAGGGTCTGAATGTGTGTTCCTTGATCTCAGCGCAGGGTTTGGCTGCTAGCTTTATTGTAGGCGTCTTTCAAATAACATCTGTTAGCTTCTGCTACCACCCTCTGGAAAACTTATGTTTCTGCATCCTTAGCACAGGCTAGCTTTGTCTCAGCTGATTGGCCAAAATATTCGTCTCTGCCTTCTTTAGGCAGAGTGAAAGTTGCTGTTTCCAGCAGGGTGCGTGTGTCCTTGAGTTCTATCTCGTCCTTCTACCTTCTTCACTCTCCAAACCCAGGTAATGCAGGAGCCACTACCCATGTCTGTCTTGATACCGTGTTTGGTAACAAGGCCTGGCATGGATGAAATGCTCTGTGCTATGAGTTAACTGTGGTCTGTAGCCTACAACTGGAATTACAAGCCACTTCTCTTGAACCTGTACACAGAGGTAGTCCTGCAGTTTAGTTTGCCCTCTTGAAGCCCCCTGTGTAGTCCACTCTGATCCTGTTGCTTGGATGGGAGCTGAATTCTAGCTGCATTTGCACGCTTGAAGTCCAGGAGCCTATGAACTGTTCATCAAACTCTTACAGCTTACCTGGAGAGGTCAGCATGTGTGCCTTCCAGAGAAAGTGGCAGGCACTCTCTAGGCAAAGCAGACAGTATTTTCCTAAGTTTTCCCAAACTGTTCCATGATTTTGTGGCTGTGCAGCGAGAGACTAGTATCAGTGGTCAGACTGCCTGATAGGTGAGGCAAAGCAGGGTGTAGAATTAAAGCACATCCTTTTCTGGTCAGCATTTCCCTAATTTGCTGGGAATCAGCATCTGTCAGCTTTGCCTTTTGCCTGTTCAGCTGCCCAACCAGTGGAGAGCTAGGTGTTACAGCTGCTGCTTCAGGGGCTTCGTAGCTAATGCACACTGATTTACTTCTGAATCCACCCAAAGGAAAGACTTTTTAAACAGCAGATCAACTCTTCTATAAGAGTTGATAGATATGATAGAATGATACTGATCATTCTCATTTTTGTCAGAGGTACACAAGAGCTCAAGTCTTGTTTCTGCAAGGATCTCAAGCTTGATGCTCTCTCAACTTGACCAGTGTCTCCATCTTCTGCATATAGCTTGCTCTGCCAGAGCCCTCTGATAGGGATTCTCTTGCTCAGCTCCTTGTGCAATTATGGTACATTAAAGAATACTTGGAGTACATACTGCTGGGTTTGTCCTTCCAACAGGGGGAATGGAACTGTTTATAGTATGTATGTACAGAACGTTCTCTGATAAGAACTCTTGTTAGGAGCAAAACCTGAGTCCCTTGTACTCTGTTATCACACCAAAGCTAGCGGACCATAAACGTGTACCCATGTGTTGGAATTCTGCTTGATTAGCTTCCTAGCAACAAATAAAGTGTTTTCCTTCTTAGTTAACAAACTGTGACAGTGAGGACCTGTGTTTGAGCTATTCGTTTTGAACGCAAGTAAAAATGTCTCGCTGTCTCAGTGTGACAGCTGAGATCAGTTTGCATTGCAGGTGGTTGTTGGTGTGTCATACTGTTGGAATGAATGTGACTCAAACCCTGTGGCAGATCTAAGTCAGCAGTCACACAAGTGAATTGTGCTTTTGTCATTGAATGCTTGTGGTCAAAACACTCTTTCCTAGGAGGAAAGTCACATAGCAAAAGGAGGTAATACTCAACACAGGTGTGCTGTCACTACTTCCAACTCTCCCAGCTCTGGTGGATGCTGTTCATTCTTTCCCAAAGTTTTTGGCACGGATGTGAATGGGGACGCAGAGCAGAAAAGCTTGATCAATTACGAGAATAAAGAGTGCTTAATTTCTCTTTATTTCAGAGATATGTTGATGGAGGAATTTCTGACAACTTGCCACGATACGAGCTGAAGAACACGATCACGGTGTCTCCGTTCTCAGGAGAGAGTGATATCTGCCCACGAGACAGTTCCACAAACATGCATGAGCTGAGAGTCACAAATACAAGCATCCAGTTCAACCTTCGCAACCTCTACCGCCTCTCAAAGGCCCTCTTTCCTCCAGAGCCACAGGTGAGGTTCTTGGCAGTGTCAGAACTTGGGGGAAAATGGTTAGACACTAACTGTCATGTGTGCTTCAGCAGAAGAAGATCACAGGCACTTTTTTTCTTTTCCATCTATTTCTTTGCCTTGACATTTAGTAATCCAGTGACTTGGCAAACCTTGAATATCTGCACAAAATTGTATCAGTGGCTTGGTTTAATTTTGCTACTTTAAGATCTGTAATCTGTTCAAGAAGATCCCCATGTGACTCTTTGAAGTGGCATTTGCCAGGAAGCCAGGCTCACTTCTAAATAAGGATCTATCAGCTCTCAGAACTAACGTGCTCATGTTTTTTTTTAGAGGTCATGCTACAGGTACCAGCTCAAAGCCAGAAAATGTCTCTCCTAAAAAGAGCCAGAAAAGCAGGTGGCACTGTTAACAATTTTGTGTGCTTCTGCTTCTGAGCAAATGCAACGTTAGACCTGGCATTTGGGCACAGTAAGCATGCACCCACATCCCGAATCACTTGCCCAAGTTTTATTTGCTCCTTCTTCACTAGTCTTGCTGGCTTTGTGCGTGAGCACAGCAGCACTTCCTGGTGTCTGCAGGGAAGTATTCTGGGCTACTTGTTGGACTCAATTCCAGACAGCTGCCTATAGCAGTGTCAGCTGTAGATGGGGAAATGAAGTGGCTGCAACTTCAAGCTTGTATTTGGTAGTATTCCAACTTGAATTATCGAGTGATGCTCATATCCAAAGCCTTCATGTTACTACTCTTATTCATGCTCAAAGCAGGACAATTTCTCTCAAGTCAGCATTGAGCTGAGTGCTTGCTCTGCCCAGCTGAAGAGCCTCCAAATGAATTGCTTTTGCTTACCTCTGCCATAGGTGCTGCGGGATATGTGCAAGCAGGGCTATCGGGATGCACTGCACTTCCTGAAGAAGAATGGTAAGGCACTGAGTGTTTGTGGGGTGTGCTGAATTGTCTCTTGGGTGCCAGGCTTTGTGACCTGGCCCTGAGGTTAGTTAGTGGTGGGTTTAAAAGGTGGAAGGACAAAACTGATCAAGGAGCATGATTCAGATATCTGAATGTGGAATTTCCACTTATAAGGATATTTTAGCTCTTTAGGTCACACAGATGGACTAGATACCTCTTCATTGCAATACAGAAGAACTCTGAGTACCTTGAGGAAAGAGCAATGGCTTGGGCACGACTGAGTGTTGAAGTTATGTAGTGTGTTATGCCAACAGAGTGCATTGCCGTTTGGAGTGTCAGCCGATAAGCCAGTGCCCTTCTGTGTGCAGCTAGGGTAAGCCTAAGGAGGCAGAGCAGAGCAGAGTGCTGGCACGCCCTCAGCAGCCCCCAGGGCATGGCAGTTTGACGCTTTTGCAAATCTGACGTTCCACCCCTGGGCTTCCCTGCCTGCGTTGAATTGCTGTTGCAGGCTGAGGGTGTTTGATGCCACCTAGTGTCGATTTAGCAGACCAAACACATTTGTTTGCTTTGTGGGGTGTACTTGACTAGGATAAGAGCAGTCATGCAGCTCTGTGGATTAAGCTGTGGGAGGGGAATGTGGATTGGTTGCTGGTGAAATATGTAGCAACAAAACCCTATGAAACGGCCCTCTGCAGTGCGTGGAGGGGAAATCTAAGAATTTCTGGGAGGGGGGAAAAATGCTGATGTTAAAGCAGTCGGATTTCTTACACGCTGTGGTAAGGATTGAAACAGATGAGAGACAGGGTGTTATGTCCATCTGTTTGGGAGGTGGGTGAAGTGAAGAGTGATATTTTAAGTGCCAGGCAAGAAAGAGTAGCTAACTTGTATAATCTTTATTGCTTCTCAGGTCTCCTTCACCTTAATCGTCCAAGTCCTGCTGGTCCTCTCCTTGCAATAGAAGCCCCTCCAGGAGAGAAGAAAGAGGAAGAAGAAGCTGAGGACCAGATGGAAAACAACACTGCCCTTGCTGTTGTTGAAGACCACATCTTTGAACACTTACCTCCCAAACTGAACCAAGGTATGGTCCAAAGGAAAAGAACCTTTGCTGTTTTCATGTGCTGCATGGTCTGTATCAAAGGACTGCTGGGATGTGGGTCTTGCTTGTTGGTATCTGGGGATTGAACACCTGCTGGTGCTTAGATAAAGTAAGAGCTTGGATATGAAGGTGTGGAGGCTGAACTGGCAGACGGTGCCTCATTTGACACTTCTACACTATAAGGCAAGGATAGGATCTTGATGCTTGTATCATTCAGGAGCTCAATAAAACGACAAGTTGTTGTTCCTCAGCTGTGCTCAGAATTGCTATCCTAAGCTAGACTTCATTTAAAAAATAGAAGGTGAGGAGGGGCGACTACCAGGCTGGGTAACTTAAGAGAGACTGCAGGAAAGGGGTAGTCCCAGTCAAGAGAGATTCAGCCATGTTCTTTTTTGTCTTCAGCTCTTTTGGAGGCTTGTGCTGAAAGAAGAGGTTTCTTGACTGGTATTAGCAACACGCTGCCTGTACGTGTGGCCACTGCCATGATGGTCCCCTACCTGCTGCCTCTGGAGTCTGCTGTTTCCTTCACTGTCAGGTGTGCCTTCAGCTGTTTCCTCTGGTTGTTTTCTATCTAGTGCAGCTGAATATTTAATGTAGCTGGTGGAGGCAGGATGCTTTCTAATGACTGTAGTGCCAGAGTTCCTGGGGAAGGAGTTCATGCTACTTAACAACCATATGCAAAAATATCCCTACCTTCATGTGTAATTTAGCTGCAGCCAGTACTGCCAGCTTGAAGTAAGATTGCTGCATGCTGGAACTTGCCTTAGAAAATGATATATTTCAGAATCTGGAGAAAAGCTTCTTAACTAGAGGAGCAGAGATGAAAATGAGAATCTCATGAGATGTGACACTTCTGAAGTGAGGGGGGAGTAGTCCCGTTGCTTCCAACTCTACACTTATGCAGCTGGGAAGGCAGGTCTGTCAGATGTGTTCTTAGTACAAAGTATCCTGTGAAAGGCTTCTGAAAGGAGATGGTTTGTGGTGGACTTAGGTTGGGAAGATATTCTGTTGCTGAAAGCAAAGGTTTGTGATGGACTTAGGTTGGGAAAATATTCTGTTGCTGAAAGCAAATGAAAAATAGGGAAGGCACAGATGTAAAGATTAAGTCCTGCACTATTCTCATCTTTCATAGCTTCTCCCATTTGCTTTTATGGGTGGTAGTGTAAATGACCTGTACAGCAACCGCCACTGAAACACTGTGTTTCCTCCTATCCTTTGTATGGTTCAATTTGTCTCCTGTCTCTTTCCAGGTTGCTGGAATGGCTTCCAGATATCCCTGAGGATATTAGATGGATGAGGGAGCAGATAACTGAAATCTGCAACTATCTTGTGAAGAAAGCCAAGAAGAAACTGGGCAGCCATCTTTCAGCCAGGTATGGCTGTTTTCCTCCACAGCTCTGTCCTGTAGGGGAACACCCAATTTCCCTTTCTACCTCTGACTTCTATAGAGTACACTCCTTAACTGTTTGGTAGACTCAGAACATGGTCTACTTCTCTCTTCCCATTACAGGACCTTCACAATGAAGCTGATAGTAGAACAATAGAACAACAGAAGATGTATATCTAATTGTAATATCCTAGCTTATTCTGCTTTCCTTTTGTGGAAGACAGTTGTGATGTTTGTCAGTCCAGGGTCCCCAAAACATCCCTTCTAAGGGTTAATTGAGCTCAAATGACTTTTTTTGTCTTGGGATCTAAGCTTGGTTTGGAGTGGGGATGCACTGGAGTGGCCAAGAAATATCAAAGGATTTCCCAGATGTGGCAGAGTGCTTTGGATCTGTGTGTGGGTGTGTGCCTTGGCACCAGCTTTTCTGAGCTGAATTCCCTACTGTAAGGCTGAGGCAAGACTTGGGTGAGAATAGGAAAATATTACAGTAGTAGGCAGAGGGTCCTAGCTATGATTCAGATCCTAGCACGAGAGACTGATTCTTCCTGCAAGAGCTAATGATCTGAATAACTGGGAGATGTGAAGGACTATGGCCATGCAGCCAGTTAGTGGTGAAATGGAAACATCTCTACAGTTCTGGAGCTCTGGTCTGGTGACCTGCTCAAGCTGTCCCACATACTAATTCTTTGCGTGTCTGTCTTTCAGGCTTTACTATCATCTTGAGCTTGGTGGGCCCCAGAGCCTGCCAATTTCTCCAGGATCTCCTTGTGGTGAAGCAGTGCCTTTATGGATGAGAAGCAACCGTTCCCTGTCTGATGTCATGCTGAAGTGGGAGGAGTACCAGCGTCAGCTTGTGATGGGCTTACTCTGCATCAATGTGGACATGCAGGCATCCCTCTTCCCTTGGGAAGGATTTCAGATGAAACTTCCACATTTGGACTGTGCAAAAGAGTGCCTGCCACTCTTCTGAGCCTGCTGTGCGGAGGGGGTGGGGATGGGTGGGAAGGGAAACAGATAAAGAGTGAGACCAGTCTTGTCCCTTGGCAGCAGGCTGCCCTGTGCTCGTGAATATGCTGCAAAGGGGACTTCCCAGGATGGAGACTGGTGGAATTGTCTGTAGCCATTTGTTGCCTGCTGGGTTGTGGATGAGTAATCTGTGTCAAAAGCACAGAGGCTGATCCCTTGCTCAAGACTTGTGTTGAGGCTTGGCCATGGCCCATAGCCATGCTGATGTTGATAACCCAGCTGGGCTATCCCAAATAATGCACTTTGAATTGCCGTTGGCTTTTCACCGCCAAATAATCGGGATGTAGCTGATGCTCTCAAGTTCTCATAGCTTTTAGCTTCCTTTGGCTCTTAGAGCACATTAATCTGTTTTTTCTCAAGTCATCTGACATCCCTTAGGTCTTTGTGCCGCTGAAGGATAAGTAGTCTCTTGCCAAACCAATGTTCCAAATCTCCTTTTGACTTTATTCTTTGACACCGGATCATTGTCTTTGTCCCTTAACTGCATCCCCACTGGAAGCCAGAGCTGGCCCTTCTGCAGACAGCACTGGGGCCACAGAAATGTAGAAGAGTAGTGTGTTTATCCTGGTTTATATTGTTGTGGACTCTCCCTGTGTAATTTCCATTTTGATAGAACTTTGGCAGCTTGAACTTAGAGTGTTAAATGTCATTGAGCTTATTTTAAAGCGGTAACTTAGGCTGAGTTTTTTTCTTTGAGGAGTTTGAAGCCTCATTCTTGTCACTGCTAATGGAATTAGTGTGGGGTCAGACTGGAAAAGCTCAGCCCTACTACGTCAGGATCAGTTCATCAGTTGACAGTGGGGAAGGAATGTGAAGTGCTTATAGGAATGTGAGATTGTATGGGTCATGTTATCTTTGAGAGATTGGTGGTAGAGTGTCACAGCACGTTCTGGGAAGGTGGCTGCCTTTGGCAGGGGTTGGGCTTCACTCATTAAGGGACCATGCAATGGAAGGAAATTCCGAGTGGGTGCCACGTAAGACACCTCCTGTCAAGCAGGGACTTAACTCTTTTATTTGAGGATTTGGGATGAGAAAGATTCAGGTTTGCAGTTATATCAGCCTCACAGTTTGCCTTTTATGTTGTGGCTCACTGGTGCAGCTATGCAGCTGTCTATAGCAGGAGCACGAGAAGAGGAAGTGAAATCAGCAGTGCTGGTGCATGTGCCAGTCTTCTTGGAACTGTCTGTGCTTGTCTTGTCCCTTAAAAAGCTGGAGCAGGTCTGGGTTCTGCCTTATCAGTAGCAGTCTACTTGTGATTTGCTGTGCAGAGACATAAGCTCTCTGTTCTTCCCAGGATGAGATGTGGCTTCCTGTGGGGTTTGCTTGTACTTCAGTCTTTGCACTGTGACACAAAGCCAGCTCCTGGTATCTCTTTCTGCAGCACATCTTGCTGTGTGAGGCATCTTCTACCTCTCCTAGCACAAACAGTATGCAACTAGCCAAAGCAAACTTATGCCCTCTCTTTTGGGGAGCTTCAGCACAGGATGTCTAAAGCTGGTACATAGTCTGTATGTGGAACAGTAATTTATAATGCTCTATTTTCTCCCTTTGATTTAAAAAGTGAAAATATCCTCAGAAACTTTAATAGGTGGAGAAGGTAGTGACTCTACTTAGTTACATTTCCACAGGCAGTGTGGGTGAGGTGGTGGGTGCTGTCTCCCACCAGCATAACTGTGCCCTGAAGAGGTTTGAGTACGTGTAGCAGAGACTGATTAGCACCAGAGCATTTCTTCACCAGTGGCTGTTGCAGTCTGGGAGGCAAGACGGTGGGCAGCTGTGATGCTGATGCTGTCTGAGAGACACCAGAACAAATACTAACTTGTGGCTGAAAATATCAGCCCACAGTCCTTCCTGAGTGTAGCTTATCTTGTGTAAAACAAGGGCCTGCATAGTTTATGAAGTAGGCCTGCACTTACGGTCAGATTTATTCTTAAGCTTCACATAGTTAAGGCAACTAGGGTGTAGAGGAATCACTATGGGGAGGAAGAGAAAAAGAATATAGAGGATTCTGAAACCAGATTGGGAATATAGGATTATAAAGCATATTGGTCTTGTATTTTTATTTTTTCTAAAGCCTGTGGGACAAGCTGAATGCCATAAATGTAGTGAAGGTGAACCAGCAGCCAACTATTGTCAGTTTGTGACAGCAGGATATGTTTGAGATAAGGTGTTTGTGATATGGTGTGAGTGCTTATTGTTTTCCACTCCTCTGGGCTACCTTCTTAGTTTGCTGAATGTGCATCTCCTGTCCCTAGTGTACATGGAGCAATTGGTGAGAATGTGTAGCTGTTTAGTGGCATGAAATTAAAGCATTGCATCCAAAAGTAAAGCCAGAAGGGTAAAGCCAGACGAGGAAACCTCGTGCTTAGAGGCTGCTGCCCTCTTGGCTTTGCCTATTTGTGTTAACATAAGGGTGGAGAAAAATGATTGCAACTATTTTTATTTTTTCCTTCTTTCTGGACTGGTAAAACCACTGACTGATTTATGTAAACCACTAAACTGAACCAAATTCTTTTGGCAATAGTACATGCTAAGAAATTGCAGCTTGGCATCCTCGGCCCCTGCTTTCCTCTTGTGTATCACACCCAGCTGGGCTGGTGCCACTGTCTTCCAGTGCTCTGATCCAGAAGGTTTGCTTTGCTGATTCTGGTCCACGCATTTCAACAGAGTAACTGCTATGGCTGGTAAAAGGCCTGAATTTCATTCTCTTGCACCCCATCTGCTGTTAGCTCCTTTCTGAGATGTTAATATAATAAACTTTTGTGCACTGCTGACTTTAACCACAAATCAAAGCCTGGGTTTAAATGTAAAGGCCTTTCTCTTCTGTGAGGAAACTCCTGTTTTCCCTACGTTAATTTGCAGGGTGTGGAAGGATACTTGGGAAAGTACCACTCTCTTAACCCTCTTTTTGCTTGTATTCCCAAGTGGCTGTTGTGTGACAGCTTGTTGGTTTTGTAGATTCAAGCTCAGGTAAAGAAAGTGATCTGTCAAAAATAAATACCGCACACTGCCCTCTGCTTCCTTAGGAAGAGTTTCATGATTTCCTTGAAGTTCATCACAGACTGCAAAGGATCAAAAAGATAAGATCTTTTTGTACATCAGCAAGCTGGAAGGAGAGAATGTGTGGTTGGGAAGCCTGCTGGTAGTGGCCAGGGCCTGTGCTCTCTTGTATGTGGTATTTGAGAAGTCAGGATCCTGGACCAAAAGTTCATCTTGCAGCCCACATCTGAAATCCTTATAATATTCACTTGAATTTTGCAAGAGTTTCAACCCTTGCAGTTTCTATTGTTTCACTTAAAAGATCTGTGCATTCAGGAATCCATTTTCTTTTTCTTCTTCCTATGATACGGACACTACTTGCTGCTTTTAACATGGCTAACAATCAACTTCTTGTGCATCTAACAGGTCCCTAACCTGTACAACACGTGGTTCAATGCTGTGCACAATAGTGTGTATCAATGGCATGCTCTGTAAACCCCCACGCATGTGTGGTGTTTTGGATTCGGTTTGCTGCCTGACCTACTGTTAATAGTTCCACAGGTTGGTTTTTCAAGGGGTAGGAGGAAATTCTTCTGCAGACTGTCAGTAGGACTTAGGAAATGCTTTCTCGTGACTTCCTGGGGGAAGTCGTGTACATGCAGCACTCAGATTAGAGAATAAGAGGGTGTTGCCATCTGCCAGCTCTGGGGTTCCCCCAAGTTCTTAGATGCTTACCACTGTTTTTGTCCATTTTAAGAATCTAATCTAATAATCCAGTTTCCAAGCTTTCACTCCTTCTCTTGAGAGAAGAGCTGTCACTTCCAAAGTAGTTATGGAAGAAACCCTGAAACTCTCTGCATGCATTTGTGTCTGTTTTCCTTATGGGTCCATTTCTACAAAGAGTAGGTGTGGGTGGCAGTGCTGCATGTTGCCAAAGTTTGAGGGCCTTGTCAACAGTTCTTTCCAGCAGTTTTCTCGTCTTCCCATTAAAATGATGAGGAAATGGACCACCTTGGTTGATCGCCACACCAGCCAGTTAGTTTGTGCCAAACTCACCCTGTGCCTTCACAGTGGGTTCTGCTTGCCCTACGTCCGTGATGTGTCTGCCTTTCTGAATGCACCAGGACTTGTTCCTTCTCTTCCTCCTTTCCCCTTGCCCACCCATGGGACGCTTCTCTGCGCCCAATCTGCAGGACGGTCTCTAACTGCATCCATCCTGCTGTGTGGCTGAGATAGAAACTCAGCCAGGACTCTGCTGTTGTCACTGAGTTTAAGAAGCCCCTGAGGCACACCAATGCGTGTGGAAATCCTGTGGTAATCACTGATGTCAGAGCAGCAACTTGACCAGCAATAGCATATGCAAGTGATGTTATTTACATAGCAAAGTATTCAAGTAGCGTTCTCGGTAATTTTGAAATTACAGTATTAAACCGATGCTTTTTTTCCTCCCGTTTCCTTTTTCTAATGTTTTCTGGAGAAAAAAAGTATTTATTTTGGCAAAAATATATCTTCTAATAAAAACTTTCTCAATGTACTCACCTGGCTGTGGCAGATTGTCTGTTTTGCCCTGTAAAGGTACATTAAATATTTCTGACTGTGCTGTATGCCGTGGGTTTGTTTGCTGGGCTCTATTCTGCTCATCTCATTTGAACTGTTCTCAGGGTAAATACATGTCAGCATTGGTAAATGCTTGGTGGGGAAGGATTGGACTAAGATGATCTTAGAGGTCTTTTCTAACTTCATTGGTTTTGTGACTGATCTTCGAGATGAAAGATAAGAACCCGTCTATTTCTGCAGAGGTTTCTGAGAGGAGCTTAGCAGCGGGCTGGGTGAGGACAGGTGCGTGGAGCTGTGGAAGGATGCCACGCACATGCTCAAAAGGGAAAGTTTTCCTCCAACCCGCGGCGGTCGCTTGAGGAACTGAACCGGGCCTGCCGCCTATTTCCTCATTCAGGAAACAGATCATACTCAGCTGCTACGAATAGCGGCCGTTGCGCTGCAAGTTTTTATCTCCGCCACGAATCAGCCCGGCTGTGCCGGCGTCGCCTTTAACTCCGCTCGGGGCCAGGCGGCGGCGGGCAGCACAGCCCCCAGCCCCACCTGCCGCCACCGGGCCGGGGCGCAGCTCCCTCCGTCCGGCGGGACGAGCGTTTCCTGCGTTCCCGCGGCTCCGCTGTCGCCCTGTGGAGCGGCAGCAGGTGCCCGCTCTGCTCCTCCTCGGCCGGGACGGGTAAGCGGGGCTGTGCGGTGCGGTGCGGTGCGGGGGCTTCGCGGTGCGGGCGGAGCCGACGCCTGCCCTGTAGCCTGCCCGGTGTCGGGGGGTGTGTGGTGCCGGGACGACGTGTGGTGCCGGGGCGGCCGCCCCCCGCCCGCCATTTTGTGAGGCCGGGGTGCGGAGCCCCTCAGCTGTGAGCTGTCCGTCTGAGCGCGCTCGTTCCTTCAGAGCGTCCCCGTTCTCTAGCTGCCGCCAGCTGAAAGACGGCTATGGGCGCGCGTTCCCTCAGAGCAGCTCTGCTGGGTGAGCGCTGTAGCTGCGGCTCCGGCAGTGCGTGGGGAGCGCTCCCAGGTGGCCTCAGGTACCTCTCTCAGACAGGGGCACGCAGCGCTGGACTCCGCGCATCCTCTGCTCAGGGAACTCTCTGCATCCTCTGCGCCTTCTGGCCCAGATCCGGTGCGTGGTGGCGCCGAGGGCCTCCGTGCCGCCTCTCCTCTTTGGGAGAGACGCCGAAGCTCCTCTAGCCGTTTTCTTTAATGTCCCTTGAGAGTGGGATGCCCTTCGGTGAACTCGTGTGCGGAACCTCAGATCCTTCCTGTAGCGCTTCCTGCCGGGCAGTTGCCCCCCTCAGCCGGAGACGTGGCTGTGTCGGGAGCAGCCTAAAGAGCCGGGTAAACAAAGTGCGGTTTCCCAGTTAAAAACTGACCCACTGAATCCTTGGTTGTTCCGATGGAGCTGGTGGATGTTATGCGTAACAGGAACTGCTGGCTTTTAGCCTTGCTCTGCGCAGCTTCAGGAGCAATTCCTATCTTACTTTTCATCTTCTAGAGCTGCCTGTTTCTGTGTATCACATAAAGTTGTATACGTATGAGCGTATGTGTCTGCTGAGAGCTATGGAAACCCTCTGTTCTAGGTCTGATAGGGAATCGGCCTGGCTGTCCTTTCTCCAGGCAGTTTGATCTGGCAAATGAAAAGATTTTTTCCTCCCAAACCTAATTTGATATGTACTGTGAATTGAGGCTGGATCGTGCCTTGATCTGGTGATGTTATTGCAGGTGAGGAGTCCACATGCAGTTGTCTTCAGCAGCACGCAGGCAGTGCTGTAATCCTGGCTGCCTCAGGAGTGACCCGATGGGATGAGGTTCAGTAGACAAGTAACATAAATCAAATGGACACAGCTCCCAGCACAGTGTTCTTCATGGTCAGAGAGCTTTGCAGATATTGATCCCCATGTGCAGTAAACCAGGATGGGTTTCCATAATGCAGCTCACGTATTATTCCCTGCCTAAATATTTTTGACTCGATGTGGCTGTGCTGGAGATGGAATCCTCCCACCTCTTTGCCTGCTCCCACGAGCTCAGCTTGACATTAGAGGCAGTGATAAGAGGTTTCAGCTGTAGTACTTCTGTTTTCTTCACAGAGCTGTGCAATGTCTCCTGCTCTTGCCAGTGCCTTTGCTTGCTGTCTGCATAAGGACTAAAGTTTTAAAACACTTGTTTTGCTTCAGACATCAGAATCCAGAATGACCCATTTTGAAGCATCCAAGGAGCAGTACTGAAGCAATCAGTGAGGCTTTGTCCTCTGTCACTGTGCTCCTTGTAAGATAGTGCATGGCCCAGCAGCTCTGAGGGGAGAAGCTCAGTGTTGCTGTCATTGCTTTTCTCGATATTTTTTCCAGCACTTTCTCCTTTCCCCTTTCTGCATCCTAAAGCTTTAATTTCTTTGCTGATTTTTGATGGATTTCCCTATGTGTGGCTCTAATTATAGTTTTGCCAAGCAAACCTGACCTCTTTAGCTGCATGGGGAGTGCTGAGGTTGGGTCACTAAATGTTCTGCTGTGAGATGAAGCACACTGTGCTCTGCTCGTGCCACGTGCTCATGTCTGTCAGCCTTACATATTTATATATCATCAGACAGACATTTAAGGAAAAGAATCAACAATGGTAGCATCAGTTGACTGGTATCTCTGCGGCGTAAGAAAAAAAATGCCAGCTGCCCAGATATGTCACACAGACTATGCAGTGTCAGTGATCCATGCTTAGGATGTAGTAAAGCAGTTAAGAGAAGTGTGTGAGGCTGAGTGAAGGGATGTACAGGGAGCTTCCAGAAGTCTGTGCTAGCTGATTGCAACTGCACGGCGCTGCCTTTGCTATCTACTGTGCTTCCCTAAAAGCAGGGAAACAAAGCTGGTGGAAATCCTGTTATGGCTGCACACTGTCCAGCCCCTGGGAAGGGAGAATTGGCATAGCCTGTCTAGGCAGGTGGTAGAGTCACTGTCCTGTAGGTGTTCAGGATCTGTGGAGATGTGGCACTGAGGAACATGGCCAGCATGATGGGGCTGGGCTGGAGGTTGGACTGGATGATCTTAGAGGTCTTTTCCAATCTAATGATTCTGTAGCCTTCAGCAGACCACCTTCAAGTCAAAGCAGTTCTTTCAGCTACCCACTGTTCCCACATGAAGAAAACAATTTCCTTTGCTGAGGATTGGAATTGAAGGTGACTGTACTGTCAGAGTGGCATTGGTAGATCTTTCTCTATGGTCTGACTCTCAGCTGACTTGAGCTGGGCTGAGCCTTACCTGCTACAAAGGCTGCGTTCAGAGAAAGTGAGCAGTGTGCTGTGCTGGGAGGAGCTGAGGTGAGGGAATGGGTTGTGTAAATATTGCTCAGAGTGACTTGCACTTAACCCAGGCATATGGACTAAATGCAAATACCCATGCTGTTTTTCAGGTGGGACGGGTTGGCCAGCAGAGCTGTCCATCCCTCTCCACTGTGAATCACCTGAGGCTGAGACCTGGTAGCAGGCATTGGGCCAGCTGCTCTCCTGGGCAGCTGCTGAGCTTTGCCCAAGGAGGAAGGTAGGCGTCATCACTGAGATAAGACACAGCTTGACCGAGTCCTTGTTCCCCTTGGCAGGCACGGCTGAGTTTGCAGCCTGGAGGAGCAACCAGACCTCACCTCTCCTCTCCAAGACATGAAGCCCTGACACTGGAGCCTCAGAGGGAAGGTACATGTGTTTGTGCCCAGGGGGATGGTGAGTGTGGAGGAGTGGCCATCAGGTTGCTCTACAAGCAGAAGGCATGGATTTGGGAGCTCCCATGTCTGTCTGCTGGGGTTGGAGGTGCTGCAGCTCCATGGGTCTGCAGAGCTTGGTGTCCTCTGAGCTGCCATGAAGGTCTGGCAGGGCTAAGGGCTTGTCCCTCTCTTCAGTTCCCCAATTCTTGGAGGTCAAAGGGTCTGTTGTCCTGAGCTGTGCCCTTCTGCCTGATATCATGGGAGCTTGGAAAGGAATTCAAATTTATTGGAGGGATAAAGAATGCAGATGTCCCTGCAGATGCATGTTTCTTCCATTTCACACTTTGCTTCTGTGCTCGAGAGCTCCCTTCATTCCTCCTCACCCTTTTTACCTCTTACAAGAGCTGGCAATGTTTCTGCCAGCCTGAAACCTGAGGAGTAATCCTCTGCTCCAGTACAGATGCACAAAACCCTTTGGTTTAATGCTTTAACTACGGCACAAAACATCTTCTGCTTCCTATGCAAATCTGGCTGCTTGTTCTAAGCTGCTGCATGCAAAAGCACCACTTGTAGTTACTCATGCTGGGCAGAGTGGTGCAGGTTTTATGTAAAGTATAAAGATAAGATTTCAGAGGTTCGTCAGAGAGCACAGCAATACACGGATTTATGCTGGAGAGAGGTTAACGAGGCAGTGCATCATAGGTGATCCTATAAAGAGTTCTCACCAGCTTGAGGTTGGGTATTGCTTTCCCCTTATGATGTATGGCAATCGTTACGGGTCTGGCTCTTCTTGATGGGTCCTTGGTATTGAAGAATAGACCCCCAGGTAAGGAAGTAAGCAACCCTGTCTTTCTGTACTTGCACAGTCTTAATCTCAGCAATTTCCTGCACTTCAGGCACAGTTGTGAATGCATACCACTAATCCAGTTGAGTTGTACATACTGTTCTCTTCCCATGTCATCTGCACACAGGAAGAGAAACTGCATTCAGCAAACTCTGCTTCTGCAGCAGGGAGAGAACTGCCCTGACAGAACACAGCGGAATACAGCACTGGCTCAAAAGATTCACTGAATGATATTAGCATGGAAAAAAGTGTGCAGTGCATATATTCAAATGAAAAAAAATCTATATGTGCACGTCACATTTCTCTTCATTTTGTTTTTCCTTTTCCTCCACCTTCCTGTGGTGAAGTTGCTCCTCTCCTGTTTGCAAACTTGTTCAGCTGGGATCCTAGGCAGGAGGTATTTAAATTGATATCCTTCAAAGGGATATCAAAGAAGCAGGTAGCAGTGGACTGATTATCCA